GAATCACTAAATTAGAAAAGAAAATTATGCTTATCACACTACGTTGGCCGGGGTATAGAAAATCCTATTTAAGAAAGTGCAACGTACAATGCCCGTGGTAAAACATATGGCCAAAGCAGTTGGTATCGTCGGGATCCGCGGGACCCGTAATGGTAGTTGCACACGATGTAACATTATTTCTTAATTCTGTGATCGAAATTCGAATAGTCTTGTACCATTACACTTATTGGGAAGGCTTAAATTTCTAAAAAGCATAACAGGCGTGCCTTTACCATTTTTAATTTTCAAAGAGATAGTTCTGAAAAGAACTATGACAAATTTTATAAAAAAGGATGATTTCTAATACTAAAACTAAGTAGCTCTGAAAAAAAGTTTTTATGAGAAGCATAAAATTGTGTTCAGTGTCTCTCGTCGAGTAGTTAGTCGATGCGCTGCGTAGTGGCCGCCGCCGGCGTGTACTTCTGTTTTAATTTCATGATATCTTTTGAATGGAATGTCCGATTTGGCGTTGGTAATGTCATGACCTGAAGAAATGTCTTGTTCTCATGAATCATGGTGGAAGGGTAAGTATTGTGACGTTTGTTTGCCTGTATATATGACCAGAATGCTTTAGGATTGTTGTTAATAGATTTTTCTACAGCTGTAATATAGTTATGGTAGCAGGTGTGTTCTAATCTTTTTGCTCTGTTTCTCAAGACTTAAAAAGAATTTTGGTCTGCTTTATTCTTGTAAATTTTATACTTTTTATGGTATTTGTTTTTCTTCCTAAGCATTTTTATGAGAGCTGGACTATACCATATTGGATACGACTTATGTTTAAGGACTTTATGTGGAACATAGCTATGAGCCAGGTCGCGAATTATTTTATTAAATTTATCCACAGCATCGTCGACGTTGCCACTTTGAAGAAGAGATTGCCAGTCGAGCATTTTGAGTTCTTCACAAATAGTCGAAAAGTCGGCTTTGTTATATTGAGGCGTTGTTTTTTTTTGTAGTATTTAGGAATGTCGAGGAAACAAAAGTTAGTGTACAAATTAAAGTCGGGTCGTATTTATCCTCCTCAACTAGGGGCTCAATACAGCGTTTAACTAAAACTTTATCGTTGCAAAAGATCGAGAATATTATTAAAATGGTTTTTAATGACATTAAATTGACAGAGCATTTAGCAGGTCGAGAAAATCCGCGTGAATCGAGTTACTTAATTTTACTATGGGTGAGAGAACTGCGTCACGCAGGTCCCACGAGATGTCACCAAGATTAAAATCTCCTAGTAATACAAATTTAGCATTGGGGCGTTCCGGAGTTAAGCATATAGGCGTTCACTAAAGTTATTAAATTGTTCAGTAAAAGAAAAGCCACGATTTTGCGAGCATAAATAAAGACAGCAAATGTGTGCTCGCAAAGTGTTGTGAATTTTGAATGTAATCCATAAGTCTTCGGCTGTAGAGGTCCATTCAGGTTGCGCGGAAGCGATAAGCCCATGCCGCGCGGCGATCAACACACCCCCCACCGCGTCTGTCCAGTGAGTGCGTAGTCGCGATCGCGCCGCCACACTTAATAGCGACTAGTGAATAATTCTTCAGAATGAATACCTTCTATAAGCCATGATTCGGTTAAGACTACAATGTCGTAGTTATTTAGTTGAACATTCCTTTTAAAAAGTTCAGTTTTCGTCCGTAGACCTCTGATATTTTGGTAATATATGATAAGTACCATTTACACACCTCAGCCGGAAAAAATCACAGCTGAGAAGCAAAAGATAACTGTAAAATAAAAGTTGTGTGAAGTTATGGTCAGAGGGCGACGGACAAGTGCTAATTATTATTGTAGGTATGTTACATTTCAAATTAAAATATTTAGTGGTATATGAGATTATAGTAAATAGTTTGCACAGGACTAAGTGAATCAACTTGTGGGAATTATTAAGTATTAATAGCACAGGCATCGGATATGTGTGATAAGGAGTGAGTGTGACCTTAATATGTACGCAATAACGTATAATAGTTGTTAGGGTGAAATAAGCTTTGAGAGTAGTACATACGTAAAGGATTTTGTTTGCAGTGTTCATACAACAGAGTAAAAACTCTAGTAATTAAGATTAGATAAAATAATTTATAATTTATGGCACGATAAGATAAAATAAACGAAATTGACAGTTCTAATGTGAGGTAAGTAGTGTATAATAGTCATTTAATATTTATTATATCGACTTCGCTTTTTATATGCAATATTGGGGATGTTTCACTTTTTCTTACCAGTATTTTGCAGTTTTGAACCCACACAAACTTAAATAGTTTTTCTAATGCGACTTTTTTGTTTTAGACTAAAATAATTTGTTTTCGCGGGTTAAGTGATCGTTTATGAAGATCCTCGAAGTGGTACCGTTGAAGCCAATCTGGTCGTTCGAAAGCGTTTTGTAAGATCTCGCAGTTGCGACGAAGTTTCTCTTCAGGTACCGTCTAGTGAAACCCTATAACAATAATTGGTTTATATTCTAAAGAAGTGCGAGTTCTGGTGACAAAATTAATGTCCGACGGTAGCACTGGCTGACCTATCACTCAACCGCAACCAGTTCAATAACATTTTCGGATTTCTTTGCGGGTATCCCTTTTATCTCAATGTTGTTCATCCGGTCGAGTTGATGCTGTATTTAGTTTGGTTTTAAGTAAGGCTATTTTTTTCTCCTGTTCCACAAGTTGAGTTTGAAGAACACCTTGCTCCAGCACTAAGGTAGAAGTAGACTGCTTTATGTTAGAGAGATCATTATACTATTATGATATATCAGATATACTATTATGCATCATATCCATGGTTTGCTTTTGTGTTGCAATAAATTGCTCCAAGAGGGAAGAGAAATAACTCGTATAGTTATTTCTAGTCTCAGATCTAGTAGGTACTTCTTGTTTGCACTCAGAGTGATCGTAATCTTCGCTTCCGTGTCGAAATTTTCGATTCCTTGCACAACACTGTTGATAGATCAGGTTGAGATGAGCTGCGAGGTTCGTTGGGGGGAGATCTTAAAAGACTCATAGTGTTTACACTTTGTTGTAACGACGGTAGCAATAAAATCACCCACACTCTAGCAACGCACAGATTGAACCGAATTTTTCAAATAACTCATTTTTACTATTGCAATTTTTTTAGACCCTCGGTGCTATCGTCTTTAATATTTTGAACTGTAAGCTGTAAATACTATTAAGGTAGGTCTTGTCGGTCCTGCCGTAGCTGCTGAGTCCATATCCGATTCCTGAATCGGCTAGCGCGTTATAGATAAGCTTTAAAGTGGAATATTCTAGTTTGGATTTAGCAGACTTAATTTAGACCATATTACTCTTAAATTTTCACAAACAAACGTAACATGTGGTTTCCAAGTAAATCTGTTGTCTATTTTAAGGCTAGATAGGTATGCTGGACAACTGATTCCAGAATAGGGCACTTACATTGGCCGCTGCTGTCGTTTTGCGTATACGAGACATAGATGTGAGTGTGATCGCATGCATGGGACCAGGTCATACGACAGCCACGAGGAATGTATATGCATTAGTTTTATTTATCATAATTAATGACTCGTCCCATGTCGTACGCCCACGCATACACCCTGTTGAAGTTCCATTGCATATGTTTTTGCGCCCTACCGATGCTTGTGTCGGCTACCAGAATACATACAATTGGTAAACTGAACCCCCTGCTATGACATTGCATATGTCGTTACAGTAGAGCAGATATTCGCTCGGTCCAACCACGGAACCCTGGGCTGAGCCCATTGTGGTTGCTATAAACTTACTGTAGGCGTTTTCTACTTTGACTGTAGTTTTCCTGTCAGTGTGTTAATTTTTCAGGAGGTTTACCTAAATACCACTTTGTGCGACTTTTTATACAATGTGAAAAATTTTAAGTTTCAAAAGTCTATAAAAATTGCAATTACATGTTTTTTATTATTAATGTGTGAGTTAATTTCATTAGTAAATTTAGACAGCAACCGGCTTGTATTTTTATTTTTCTGAAAACCAAACTAATATTAATTAATTTCTTTTTCTTTCCCTAGATATTTTTCTACAATTTTATCTAATCTTACAGCCCTTAATACAGGGCTTATGTGGTACGCAATTTCTTTCAGAGACCCGCATACCGTCAAACACCGGACTTTTTTTTTTAGTGTTTAGTGTCTTGATTATCGTTTCGACAATTTCGCTATTTGCTTTTTTAGTCTCATGGTGTGACACGGGTGAGTGACATATGTCTCTTCGCCTAAGATATTCGTGTTGCACGCGTACTTAATGTTTTTTACGTTTTGTGCAAATCCGTAGGCAAAGTTATTAGCTATCTCACTAACACTGTTGTTCTGGAAATGTTTTGTTAAAATGTCATCAATCAAATCAATTTATTATATTCCACACTTTTTTAGAATTTTTAAAGTTTACACCTTTCTCTTTTTTAATGGTTTTATTATTTAATGCATTTATATATTTTTTAGTTTTGTAGTAAATTTTGTATTTATATCTATATTTATTGTAAAGTAGATGATTAGCACTATTATTTATGTCACTCAGTAATATGGCACGTAGTTCATCGATTTTAGAGCACATAGATAACATTCTTTCATTCGCCCAGTTACAAGTGATGTTGCGTTTTCTACAGTTATTTTTTTCGGTGATATAACATTGATCATAAGTTTTGTTAAATTTACAAATAATAAAGTTCAGTACATCATTTGCACAATTATAATTTAAGGCAGGGGACCAGTCAACCGTCCTCAATAGAACTTTAACCTTATTACTATCAAGTCTACGTATCCTTTTGCATTTAGGTTTGCAAAAGGATACGTATCCTTTTTTTATTAGTGCACATACAGATATAACGCTGCTTAATTCGGATGTGAATAACTGTTTACTTAGGTTCGATGGTCTGTACACTGCACACACTTTACTTTATATTTATTTAAATAATAATACCGGAAATACATTCGAAACTAAAGGTTGTAGTAGGGAGTCTGTTAAAGTTTAGACTTTTATGGGCGTATAAGATGACACCACCACCTCTTTTCCCATCGCGCAGTTCGTGGTGAATCTCATAGTTTTTAAGCTGGAACATGTTGACACATTCGCTCGATATATTCACTTCGGTTAAATCGATTATGCTGATAACAACTTTGCTACTATTTACTGTGTATTCCAGTTGAGCAAAGTTTTTTATAATAGATCTTACATTAACGTGAAGTGTTATTAGGGCTTGTTTTCTTGCGGGTAGCGTGTGTATAAATTCATTCCATGAGTTTGCCGTTGTTTCGTAACTTACATTATGAGTTGAATCCATCTTAATTAACGTAATAAATGCAAAATATAATACAAATAATAACTTACTCCTCGTCTTCCTTCTCTATACAATCCTGTTCACTATATTCACAAATTAATTTTTCTATGCCTTCATCTGATCGTACGATGTAAGTTCTGTGTCCTTCCTCTCTTTTTAGTCTTATCACTCCTTTCTTACACCAAACGTATTTACACAATCCAGTCTCATGGAGGCTGGATAGATAACCGCTTCGGTTTAGCTTTTGGCCCGGAACAATTACGGCATTTCCAATCCGCAGATTCGGTCGAGAAAAGAACATTTAACTGTTCGTTAGTTAAGTTGTTTGATTTTTAGTTATTGACTTGTTGCATTGAACGTACTTCACCATTTTTGTAAATAGCGCAGGTAGGCACTTAGATATGTTTGGTCTAGGTCAATGACTGCGAGCAACTAAAGTTCTATCATTTTATTTTGGATATCTAGAATTGTTTTCGTAGAGCACGCAACGAAGGCCCTCGAATGATAATTTTCTCCGTTTTTTTAATGGGATGTTTTATAGCCTTTATCGATAAAACTCTAACTACAAAAAAAAAAATTTTTTTCTTTCAATTAGAACCACTACTTCCTGAGTATAGCGAACAAAAAAACGGACAAACTCTACAATTTATAATATTAGTATAGATTGGCATGGCTAAAAGTTTGTCTATAAAGTTTCAATTTTATGTACATTATTTATATAATTTTGCACAGATAGGTATACTAAGTTGATAATTAAAAATAATAAAATACTATTAGACGCGCGGTGTGTTTGACAGATGTAATGACGTAAACCGATGCATTCTAGTCGCGTGCCGGGACTAAAATAACAGAAACAATGTCGCGAAGCCAACTAAATCGAAAATCGGCCCTACTGAAGATCTGTAGTCAAACACCGATAACATTGCTTAGATGATGATCGCTTCGATAGGGATAAAGATAAGTTTGTATGAAAAGAATAGAAGGGCTGTTTTTATGGTTTTCCCGACGATTTTTCTCGCCGTAACAATAATCCTGAGGTTACAGCGAACATTTTATAAAAGAATCATTAAAATTGGGCCAGGCGTTTGCATTTTTATATCTATGCTAATATATAAAGCTTGTTTGTTTGTATGTTTGAGTGCGCTAGTCTCAGGAAGTATGGGTCCGAATTGAAAAAATCTTTTTGTGTTGGTGAGAGCATTAATCGAGGAAGGCTATAAAACATCGTCGTGTGTCTAATACAAGCGAAGATACAGGGAGAAATGTGAATAAATTGGGAAAATTATTCATCATTATATATTTCCGAGAGGTACGCTGCGTCAATGGTTCAATATACCTAAATATATATATGAAAGAATGATTCCTCTTTAAATGATTTAAGAGAAGTCCGCGACGTATATATCTATCTTTTAAGATTAACTTACAAGAACGACGGCAAGCGACGTTGTGGGTAACAGCATTTCGAACCCGTAGTTTCTGAGATTAGCGCGTTCAAACAAACAAACTCTTCAGCCTTATATATATATAGATTTGCATACTCTCGTCATTATTCAAGAACAATTCGAATTGCAAATCTGCAACGATTCAAAGTTTCTTTTGTTTATATTTTTGTAATCGTTGCAGATATAAGCATGAAACTTTGCAATAATACCGTGCAAGATGTGCATTTATTAGCTGGTATTTTATGTATAAATATTATAATGAGAAAAGTCCGTTGCTACCTTCTTACCGGTTAAAATCAAATGATGATTTGTCGGAAGTACCGGATCCGACATTATTGCATCCGGCATGCATAACATTCATAAGTAATAGTCGGCAGTGGCACTCACATGTTTTTTTATTGTATTAATAAGGTATATCGTATGTAGTTATTATTTCATGAAAGGCCAAAAATGTGAAAAATAATAAAAATAAAATTACTTCGATTCAGTTCATTTCACTCTCAAAATCAAAAGTGCACGAAAATGAACAAAACGAAATAAACACATAGTTTACGAGATACAAAAACGACTAATAATTAAAGTGAAATCCCGTTTCCCCATGGGGGCCATGGGGCAAACGAATTAATTTACATAGCGGTTGATCAGACTATTGTGGCCTGTCCGACCGAATCAGTCGAATCGCCCGGTCGAAATGATATTTGGCAGAGATTTATTTTAACTTAATTAATTTCACCCCTATTAGCCTTTCAACAGGTAGGTAAATTAAGTAATTAGGTAGCTAAATTAGGGATACACCGTAAAGTTAACGTTCAAAAAGTCATGTTATAGTAAAATACGCTTACATCTTCTTATCTAAATCAAAAGTAGCTGCTAATACCTTGTCTTCATTTGGCTTTGCTTCGTCTGTTTGATTTTTTCTTTACGTATTTCTTTACCTTTCGTCTAGGTAGATCTTAATTTTTTTATGTGCGACGATTATCCCAAACTTTTTTATGGAATGCAATATAGAAATTAGTGTTAAATATATGCCTGTATTGTCTCCTATTTGCTTTAATTATTATATTTTTCAGAAGAAAACCATTCATCATACAATCTATAATTTCGAGATGGCAACATTCACCTTCTAAATATATTTTTGGATATTTTGTGGTAGTGATAGGGGTAATATTCCGTCCCTAGCGACATCAGTTTTAAAAACTATTTTTCCTGAAAACCTATCGGCAAAAGACGCAAAATGCTCGAACGTTATTTTATTTAATGGACTTTACTACGCATAATATTATAATTTTGATTTCGGCTTATGACAACCTTGGTCATTAGGGATCGTTTTATGAAATAAAAAAAAACAGTCTTTTGTTAATAGTTAGGGGCGAATGGATTGATGTATATTATTGTATTGGCCCAACCAATCATACTATTATATATTATCAAAAATGCCTGTATTCAATAAAACGCACATTTAAGGATTAAATTGCAAGTGAGTAATCAAAATTAACTTAACTTTCCTAACTTAGATATTAACATATATTTAATATGGTAGGAATATTTTTGTAGTGAGTACATTTTAAAATATATTTTAATCACTTATTGAAACATTAACTTACTTTGGATTTTTAAATGATGGCAAAATAAACTAATAACCGAAAGGAAGTCTAAATTTGTTTTGTTTATTTATTGCTGTATAATAATTACTTAAAACTAGTATTACCACCCGGGTTGGTAATACTGGTTTTAAGTAGTTATTGTGACTCAAACGACCCGAAACCTCGAGAAAAGGGCGTAGGTACCTTAAATTTTCTTAAAATGAGACTATCTCTAAATTTAAATTAAAAACTTCCTTAAAATATTGAATTAAATAAAACTAATGGGTATGGTTGGTGCTATCGGCATTTACTTACATGTGAATAATCGTCGATAATGTTATTTTATCTTTCAATATGCGATCTCAAAACTTTCATGGCCGCTCTTTAACGTTGTGCGAAAATTGCGATCTCTTTGCTCAGGAGATGAGTTTCTTTATCAGTTAATATATTACGTCTATAAGTATAATCACACTACCAGAAGCACACGACATTTTTATCACTATTGGGGACAAGTTCGTTTCGTGATTGTGTCACAACTTTCCCTAGCGACGCGCAGCCTTCCCCGATGCGCATCCATTTCCAACTGAAGGTCGTTTAACCGTACTCGTACACCAGGGACCCCAGCTCAATTCCCTTGACCTTGAGTTGTCCTATTTTGTAAATAATTAATTAAATTTAAGATAAGATTTAATTTAAAGAAGTTTTAGATACAATAGACAGACGAACAGTAGAGTACTCGTAAAAAAACTATTATATTTATTGCTTAGCAAAAATGGATAACCTAATATATCAATATATCTAATATGTCAAGCATAAAATTATGATTCTTATCTTTATATATTTTTTTATCGTCTCTACATACAATTTCTGTTCTTTTGCCATTTTCTTACTCATACCGTGCTAATGATAATTTCTATTTACAATTAAAGATATCTTTAATTGTGATTTTGTAATCAAAGCTTAAATACTTTCTTTTTTGAATGTCAAATTTGTGAAAGCCCCCAAGTTGGTATCACATACGTAGCGGGGTGGATGACCCGTCTACCAGCTCTGACTTTGACCCTCTTACGTTTTAAGCCCCTATAAGTTAGAAAATGAGTCTGAAACGAAGTTTATGTGCTTGCTAAAGCTTTTTTTGTAAATTAACAGTTGCGTAAAACACGTCACATTAATTCACAGCTAAGTAAACATGGTCACTCGAATTTTAGTTATTTAAATACTTACATAGGACCTTCCTATGCACTATCGAAACAATTTCATAACTACTGTGAAAGCCTTTTAATATCCCTCCTCATTTGTCGTGCGTATTGTCATACAAGTGCTAACAAGCTATAGTTCCGTTGAAAGGCATAAATCCGATTGAGCTGAAAACTACGTTAGGTTATTATGCATCTACAAAAACATATTAAGAATTCTTCTTTCTTCATAAAGAAATAGTAATTCTCTTCAAGGTACGATACGATACGATATTTTAGTAAAATCCCCAGTGCAGTGCAAGCATTGTCAATTAATAAGTTTAAATCCTATGCAAAACAAAAACTCCTTGGACATGGTTTATAATATGCAGTGTGTGAAGTCAAAGTACGTGAAGACCGTAGAATGAAACAACTTTCATCGGCAACCTTGAAGCTAAACAAGTTGAAATGATTGAATGACAAGCCAGAAGTAGAAATGTAAACATCTGTTGTAGACCTGATGGAAATGTACTCTATGGAAATATTACGAACAAAGACCCCAAACTTTCCCCTAGGTCCCGAACCTAACTATACTACGAGGCTCGGAAAATTGTAGCTGGTAAAAAGGCGTGTCGTATGTATTTGATATCTTGTAAAGCAGTTGCTGCGCATTAGAACGCTGTCTTGTAAATCATAAAAAAAAATATTTTTACTTAAGATACGTTCTTAATTCTAAAGAACGTATCTTAAGTAAAATGTTAGTTCACATTTACAAATATAAGCGCAATTAGTTTCATGTCATATATTAGTACTAGCTGTAGCGTAGTTCCTGAGATAAATGATAATTGCTCTAACTAACACAAAAATAATTTTAAAATTCGAGCCCGAAGTTCTTGAGATTAACGCGTTCAAACAAATAGACAAACTCGTCAGGTTTATATATTAGTATAGATAGATAGAAAAAGGGTAAATAATATAACAGTGTAATTATTGTTTGATAATAATATTGCTCTAAAAATGTTACTCTTCGATGTGCACCTACCTAATTGTGTAGGATACGCACCACCGGGACGTTCCCTGGATATATTTTCGAACAAGGTG